AAATGAGCAAGAACGCTCATTTGTACATCATTCTAGACAGAAATAAATGGCCTTTTTAGAAAGTGAACCATGGATGGGGAAATGTTGGCAGTTTTGAAAGTCCCAGAAAAGTGGGAAAAGTATGCGCGAGTGATCGTTTTACCCGTTTCAGGGTAATTAATGTGAATGACACCACGTGCATCCCAAGAAACTGTGAAGAATCGTCTTGTTGGCCGGTAGGCATATCGACGACAGTTATATCTGGTTTGCCACCCGTGGTCTGGCAAAAAAAAATCGGCACACGAACGACGAAAAGTTTTAAGAAAATTAATTCAGAACGTATTAAAAGTCTGGAATCAGGCTCAGTCTGATTTTCTCAGGTGCTCTTCTCCCGTCACAGATGGTGTCGCGAAAAGGTCCTGTATTCAACTCTCTTTGCATAGATGAAGACAACTTTAGATAGCCCACTCACTTGCACCAATACTACAATTGAGATTAAAAGATGCTTAATATTCAGTTAGATATATTTGTAATATATCAAATTGAACATAAACATACTCCTAATCTCAATTGAAGTATTTCGGCGTAGCCACAGGTTCTTGAATATGTTAATAAAAACATCTTTGCTCCCGCTGTCCACGCTTCTTTATACTCGCGGAAAGGGTATTCCCCACTAGTCCCCGAAAAAAATTTCAATTGTCTAAAAATTACGCGAGGGGAAAATACTGCAGTCGGTAATTTCACGTCCTTTTGAAATTCTTGGGGTTCCCCGAATCGGTTTTTCCCTGGCGTCTTTATGGATCGTCTGTAAATACCCGCAGAGAGTGGCGCTTTGCACGACAGTAACTAAGTAAATATGTTAACATTTTTGTTGTAATACATACATTTGCATCTAGCTAGTTTGCTTTTATACTCCTTGTAATTTAAGAGTATAAATACAGTTGAGTCCGGATATAACGAACTTGAAAAATGAACTAAAACTGGTTCGTTATATCCGGAGTTCGCTATTAGCGAATAATAATACAAAAACGCGCGGTGTATTTTATTTCGTTATTTTTACATAGAGTAGTAGAAGTTAGTAGGTATGACTAAAAAGATAAACAAAATTCAATTTGAAATCTACTTCATAAAGTCTGTAATTTTTGTTTGTACATTTCTGCTGCAAAAATAGATGTTATTTATGTAGTTTTCAATTTCACAAAAGGACTCCCAGATATGATTAGGAACTTGGCGTGATTGTAGAAAATTCCGAGTTTCTGACACTTTTTTTGTCATTTCAGAAATGGTTGGAACAGCATTAGTGTCTACAGTAGAATACGTTTCACCTAAATCGTCATCTTTCTCATTATCGCTTAAAGCTGTAGATGAGGTTACGGAGTCTATAATTTGCTCATCGGTCAACATTTCTCTTCTAAGAATGCCATTATCAATGCTCACATATTCGAA